TAAACTTACTTACTTTTACTTAAACCCTATTTAAACTTATTACAACTAAACTGCTTATTCAAGAAATGCTAATAGTCTTGAAAGATATTCACATCGAATATGAGTATCATCGTCGATTTTAACGTCGAACATATATTTACTTCATCCAACATCCCTCTATGCGTGCAATTTAAAAGTCGCATCTTGGCTATGACTAACTGGTTGCCGTGAATGTGTAATGAAGGAGCAGCTGATAATCTCTTTGAGTGCCCGATAGAGCTTCGAATCCCGTTGGGAGTGCAGATGAGGCCAGATCGAGGCGAAGTCGAAAGGGGATACCACTTAGAATGGTAAGGCCTGAAGGAAGGCAAGGTCATGTGCAATTCAACACCATCGCGGAGTCTATTTAGTTAATTGTGGCAAATGTTGACAATCAGCCCTACATCAGCATATGCCACTCAAGGTGAATAAGGTAGTAGATAGAACTACTAAGATGCGGTGGTCTCAGGTTTGGTTATGGTCTCCTTTAGCTGCTTAGTGTTGGTTGAGCCTAGTTTGCCCAAATTGGTAGGCACTTCAGAGGGACTTTGGGAAACATACCCAGTCCTACGTCATTTGCCATAGCACTCGCGATCATTTTCACCATTGGAAGGTTGGATTGGTACATTCCCAGATGTTTTGTCGGCGTCGTAGTCGGTAGCGCCAGTGAGAGGCGACATCCTTGACACAGAGTTAAACGCATTAAGATTACAACTGTAAACAATCTCCTTGACCAATTTTATGTGATTTTCATGTGCAGCATGGAGCAGCTGATAAATTGGGGGAAGAGGGTGGTTAAATCTAAGTGCTAATTTGATCCCAGAAGGCCTCCAAAGGGCACCTGAAACCGGTAGTGAAGATGATCACACCTTAGTAAATCAGCTTAAAGTGAACGTCGTTTAGTCAAAACTGGAGCGAACGGAGACAGGTTAAAGGGACATATTTAATGGGACTGGGGGGTAAGGATGCACAGATCTAGAAATTAAGTCAGGGTGGAGGGAAGATAGTAAAACGATCGAACCAAAAATTGGTCGTATGAAGAATTGGTTGATGGATTGATTTTGAAATTTCTCCTTTCATTTAATTTAAAGAGACGAAAGGAAGGAATTCCTAATTCGTCCATATCGAAAGGTATTAATCTTGGAGCTGTGATTGCAGGTTTATGCGAACAAGTTATCAACGAACTATGCAACAACCCCAATAAATTCTTACTGAGCGTTTGTACTTCATCTGACGGACAACATATCCTACGATAAATCACCAAGAAAGGTTGCAGGACGGTACGCCGAGGGCTGCTTGGCACAAAACTATAGTCCTAGCTCAAAGGCGATCCTCCTTTCGTTTCTGATGAGGCCAATTTACTGATTTTTCGTTTGTAAGTAGGTTTTAGAGACTTTCAGTAAATCACATATATCATATGTGCCCACCCTATATCGTAAAGGTGATAAATGACTGGTAGTTGAATATTCCAACAATTATATGAGTAGACCTTACGTTTCCATTGAATTTCACATGGCCTTGCTTTACCAAAAGCTATTCTCATGCAGAGTGGACTAGAGTTTATACCTCGCCCAGGTCTCATCAGCACCCCCTGCGGAACTCGAATCATCGCAGTACAACGTATAGTCTTAACACGTTAGCCACTAAGCCACTGCCACGAATGCCCCTGGCAGTTGTGAATTTTAAGGATGGCGAGGCATTCGCCCATATCACATTCTGTGGTGGGAACGTTGGAGATGCTTGGTCATATTTTCTATAACAATCGACTATATTAGTTATTTTTCGGTTGTATGGTCTCGAGATCACCAGTAAATCAAATATATGATAAGAGTTCACTCTACTTCGTTTAAACTCAACCACCACTCAGTTATCAACTCAAATGAGATAATGTGAACACAACTCATATATCTAATTTAGTGGTAGCCTCGAAGACCTATTTACAAACGAAAAATTATGTAATGGATTGCTTTAGCAAATATGACTTTGTTTCACCTACAATCTCACCACATAATGTGATATGGGAAAATGCACGGCCATCCTTAAAATTCACATCTAACCTGTGACTCAAGGGCACCGGTGGCAATGTGGCGTAGTGGTTAGCGTATCGAGATTATAGGCTGAATTGTCATGGTTCGAGTCCCGTTAAGGTTGCTAATGAGACCTAGGCAAGGTCGAAACTGCAGTCCCCTCCAACCGGGATGAGAATACCCTTTGAGAAGCAAGTCTATGTGGAATTCAATGTAAGCGCAACGTTTTCTTATGTAATTGTGGCAAAATTCAGCTTCCAGTCCATCACCTTAAACGAAATAGGGTGAACACTCCTCAATTTACTAATCTTCCCTCTTCAACTTTCCTCATTTTATGAAATGAAAGTTGTGCCAACCAAAGATTGTTAAGACTCTGATAGTCATTTCTACATTTGAGCACGCCAACGGATCAGTAAAGCTTGCATTCTTAGGCGTCCAGTCGTGGCATGAAACTCAAGATGACGAACAAGATGATGTGCACTTTGATTTAGTCACAGTCTCATGT